CCCCCGGGGCCCACAGGCAACCGAGAATCATAGACTATCAGGGTTGGAAGGGACCTCAGGAGGTATCTAGTGCAACCCCCTGCTCAAAGCAGGAGCAATTCCCAACTAAATCATCCCAGCCAGGGCTTTGTCAAGCTGGGCTTTAAAAACCTCTAAAGAAGGAGATTCCACCACCTCCCTAGGTAACGCATTCCAGTGCTTCACCACCCTCCTAGTGAAATAGGGTTTCCTAATATCCAACCTAAACCTCCCCCACTGCAACTTGAGACCATTGCTCCTTGTTCTGTCATCTCCCACCACTGAGAACAGCCGAGCTCCATCCTCTTTGGAACCCCCCTTCACGTAGTTGAAAGCTGCTATCAAATCCCCCCTCGTTCTTCTCTTCTGGAGACTAAACAATCCCAGTTCCCTCAGCCTCTCCTCATAAGTCATGTGCTCCAGCCCCCTCATCATTTTTGTTGCCCTCCGCTGGACTCTTTCCAATTTTTCCACATCCTTCGTGTAGTGTGGGGCCCAAAACTGGACACAGTACTCCAGATGAGGCCTCACCAATGTCGAATAGAGGGGAACGATCACGTCCCAAGATCTGCTGGCAATGCCCCTACTTATACAGCCCAAAATCCCACTGTCGACTCATATCCCGCTTCTCGTCCACTGTGACCCCTAGGTCCTTTTCTGCAGAACTGCTACCTAGCCATTCGGTCCCTAGTCTGTAACCGTGCATGGGATTCTTCCGTCCTAAGTGCAGGACTCTGCACTTGTGCTTGTTGAACCTCATCAGATCCTCATCCGTCCAGCCGAACCCAATGGCCCCGGAGACAAACGGGACACAAAACAGCCCTGATCTTACTGCCCCACGGGTGAATCCCTGTTCTGTTCATCCCCTCTGGGGCACCTGGCACTGGCCACTGTCGGCGGACAGGACACTGGGCTGGATGGGCCTTTGGTCTGACCCGGTCTGGCCGCTCTTGTGTTCTCTCTCACGGCCCCGCCGCCCCCAGGACAACTTCGGCTACGACCTGCCGGCGGTGGAGGCCGCCATGAAGAAGCACGAGGCCATCGAGGCGGACGTCTCGTCCTACGAGGAGCGCATCCAGGTGGTGGTGGAGCTGGCGCTGGCCCTGGAGGCCGAGGGTTACTACGATGTGCGGCGCATCAGCGCCCAGAAGGGCAGCATCTTGCGCCAGTGGGGGCTGCTGACCGAGCTGGTGGGCGCCCGGCGGGCCCGCCTGGAGCAGAGCCTGGCCCTGCAGACCATCTTCCAGGAGATGGTTTACATGATCGACTGGATGGAGGAGATGCAGGTGGGCAGGGAGCTGGGGGAGGGGGGTGGGTAGCCTGCTGGCGGCCTGGGGGGCTGGGCCCGGTTTAAACCAGTGCCCACGACCTGGGGGAGCGAAGGCTCCGGTGTGAACTGGTGCATGAGGCCTGGGGGAAGGGGGAGGGACGGGTTTGGGCTGGTGCTTGTCCCAGTGCCACAGCAGGACGGCTGCGATCTGCAGCTGGCCTCCCCGGCTGTGCCTGGGTTTGGCACCATCTGCTCCATGGGCGCCCGCTTGGCAGGTCTCCGCTTGGGCCAGGGGACCCTGGGGCTTCGCTCTGTCGTGACATGGGGGCCTGGTCCGGAGAGGCGGAGAGAGGCTGTGGGGGCAGAAATGCAGTGCGGGCCGGCAGCACTGGGAACTGACACTGCCTGCGGGGGGACCTTGGGCACGTCCTTCACCCTCACTGGGCCTCAGTTTCCTCCCAGCGGCGATTACCGTGGCTCCCAGGAAACGGCTGCCAGGTCCCTGCAGCCCCTGGACACATGGGAGCTGCGGAGCCGGTACTGGGGGTGAGGGCAGCGCGTGGAGCCACCCTGGCTGCCCATGTGCCACGGGCCTGCAGGGACCTGGCGGCCGCTTCCGGGCGTCGCATGGAGCCAGAGCAGGCAGGGAACCGGCCTTAGCCCCAGAGCCACCAACCGGACTAGTAGCAGCGGTGCCAACTGGAGCCGCCAGGATCCCTTTTCGACCGGGCGTTCCCATTGAAAACCGGGCACCTGGCAACCCTAACCCCCCCCGCCTCCCCTCGCCCGCCGGAGCCCCAAGCCCCCCGCGGCCAGAAGAGCCCAGCCTGAACCTCTCTGAGCCCCGGCCCGCCCACCCCCGCTGCCCCGAGCCCTGCTCACCCCTGCTGCCCCGAGCCCCGGCCCGCCCGTCCCCGCTGCCCCGAGCCCTGCTCGTCCCCCGCTGCCCCGAGCCCCGGCCCGCCCGTCCCCGCTGCCCCGAGCCCTGGCCCGCCGGCTGACCTGCCCTAGCTGTGCCAGCCAACCCAAGCACCGGCCCACCCGCCCCTAGTCCCAGGCCACTGGCTGGCCTGACCCCCAGCCCAAACCCCTGGCTACCAGCCCAAGCACGGGCCTGACGCCCTGGCCACCGGCCAGCCCGAGTTGCCCCTGGCTGCTGGCCGGCCAGAGTCTCCCCATCAGGCCCCTGGGAGAAGAGAATCGTGCCAGGCCGGTAACTTACTGCAGGCGTTATAATAGGGGCCTCGGGGCCTGAGCCAAGGAGCGGGGCCCCGTGGTACCAGGCGCTGTACGTAACAGAGAGGCAGCCCCTGCCTGGGGTCGCTCACAGCTGGATCCCAGCCCAGTGGTGACGGCTTCGCCTGCCCTTCGTCCCGCCAGGCCCCGCTGCTGTCGAGGGAGGTGGGGAAGCACCTGCTGGAGGTGGAGGACCTGCTGCAGAAGCACGCCCTGCTGGAGGCCGACGTGGCTGCCCAGAGCGAGCGGGTGCAGGCGCTCAACCAGGCCGCCCTGAAGTTCTGCGAGCTGGCGGGTAAGTGCAGGCTGGGGAGGGGTCTCCCGACCCCTGCGGTGGGGGCCAAGTGTCGGCGGGACTGGGCCGCGCTTTGCCCGGGTCCGAACAACAGCAGCTTATCCCAGCCACTGGTCCCATCGCCAGCGGGGCCCAGACCTCAGCTCCTGTAGCCGGCTGAGATATCTCCTCTGCAGAGAACGTGCAGGCCGAGGTGGGCTGTGAGGGGGGGGGGCGGGCTGGGAGCCAGGACTCCTGGGTTCTCCAGGTCTGTAGCCAACAGGCCAGGCCGGGAACCGAGTGCACAAGGCACTGTGGGAGAGATTCCCGTGCAAAGCCATGGGCACCCGGCTCCCAACAAGGTCTGGAGTCGGGCAGACAATTTTCAGAACAGATGAGGGCTGTACTGGGGAGGGGAGTGGGGGCTAGTGGTTAGAGCAGGGGGGGCTGGGAGCCAGGACTCCTGGGTTCTCTCCCCAGCTCTGGGAGGGAGTGGGGGCT